AGAAAATAAAAATTCAAACATAGAGAGGCAAAGACGTGAAAATGTGGGAAGTTTTAATATTTAATTTATGCTTTTCTTTCATTCAAATGGCGACCCTCGAATATAATTGCAATTGACCTCCATTGCATTTGAAGGGGGAGGGGGTTCAATCATCACCTTTCTCAAAAGTTTATTTAAAATCGTGCAGTTTTTTATGATTCTGAGCTCTTTTAACTTAAGTGATGACCAATGTTGTTTAACTTGGACCCCCTGCCCCCATCACTGGAAAATGGCTACGGGCCTGAAAGGGCAAATATTGTCATTGATTTCTCGAAAGCTCATAATACACCCAATCCACAAGGTGGGTCTAAAGGCGAAAACCTAGACAATCTCTGTAATCAAAGGCTGAGACGATATTTTCTATAATCAGAGTCCTAGACGACTTCTGCTGTAATCAGAGTCCTGGATGATCTTAAGACTTTCTCGTAATTAAAGTAGCCAAACATCCGCTGAACAGGGAAATTGATGGATTAATGAATAATCTTTTGTTTGTTATTTTAATAATACTTATTGTTTTGACAAATATAAAACTTTTGTTTCCGATTATAATACAAGTGTATCAAATCCATTATGTGAAGCAATCCCTAAAAGCAGAACAAGACAACCACAATAACCACCAGGCCCGTAGCCAGGGGGGGGGGGGTTCGCAGGGTTCGGACGAACCCCCCCCCCCGGCCAAAAATTCTTTCAAAATCATGCAGTTTTTCACCATTTTGAGCACTTCTCAAGTGATTTTAGCCAAATTTTATGCCAAAATTGTCAAATGTGAACCCCCCTGGAAATTTTTGAAAACTGACCCCCCCCCCCTTGGTAAATCCTGGCTACGGGCCTGACCACCTTGTTCTAAGGGTATAACTACTAGTTTAGAAGTCTTATATTTTACTATATGACTTGAGCAATAGCGGGCCATAGCGGGCCAGTCGTAGTGGTGTTCCAAAATGAATATCAACATTAAGCATGAAACCTTTTTGAAAAATTCCAGGGGTCACATTTAACAATGAAAACTTTCGCCCAAAAGCACGTGTTCACTGCTCAAAATGTAGAAAAACTGACTTTGGGCCTGAATCCCCCCCCCCCATTCAGTTCCATAACTGACATTCTTCAATTTTACAATGCAATAAAACATTGTATGAAATTATTTTGTAATGATAGGGTGCTTTATATCATAATTTAATATCCAATTTTCTCTCCACAAAACGCTCAATACATTTTTCATGAAAAGAATATGACGAAATCCCAGTATCAATACTGAGTATTGAATAATAAATAGCTCCGACATGTTGAGTAAGATTAATTTCGTCTTCCTAAGGTATTATTGAGAATGTAAGCTGGACAGTCATATAATAAAACAAATATTTCGTTTATTTTATTTATCTCAGGCCCGTAGCCAGGATTTGACAGGGGGGATTCGTGTAATACTAGTACACGTAGTATCACTTTTGAAAGATGTACAGGTATTCACCACAATAGAGTGAAATATTTGCTAAATAATCATAAGAAATAAGTATGCTTATGCAAAACCCAATTGGACTGATATAAAGGGGTATTGTTTCATTATGTGGACTTGAGAAAGGCCGACATACTCTTGCTTCCAGTTCCAACCCAAAACTTAAAATAGGAAGTTATCAAGATTCAAAAACACGATCGCTTATTAAACAATACGCTTGTAAAATCCCGGCGATCAAATGCAATCAAACTTTCGCAATCGGGTGCCTAATTAGTCTTTTGATCTCCGAAGTTTTACTGGACTTTTCAATGAACTCGTGAGAAGCAAACGCAATCATCACAAACTCAAATAAACATGTTTCTAGTAAATTTGAAATAGAGTAAAACCCAGGGGAAAAAATCGCGTGGTGATTAGATTATTTCATAGGAATTTGGCATATTTCAATTTTGAAATAGCAAAATCTGTCTCGGAAGAATTTACCAAGCATTCCCTACTTCAATGCGTTTTTATTGCGAGGGCCGTTTAGCGCCGATACGACCTCATTAGGGTTGTGCTTTTTTCGTTTTATTAATATAAATGTTATGAAATGTGGAGTTCACAAGTGACACTATAATGAATTATTTTTAGGTTTACAATGCATATTTGGCTTTTCCCTCTAAAAGTTTAAAATTCATCTTTATACTTTTCTTGATTCAATAAAATTAACATTGGATCCCAGACAGTTATCAAATTCTCAGACATTTGATTAGTCTAGATGTTTGTACTTCCTTTGATCAGTGGCTGGTGTGACTGGAATTCGAATCTAATCTGTTTCATTTTTATGTAAATTGAAAGGAATAAAGTTTTATTTTAAGTGTTTTAACAATATTAACGTTTGGCGTGCAGCGCAACTTCATACACAATCAAGGAACAGAATACAGGTATAAGAACATGCCTTTTATTTTCAAGCTCGAGCAATATCCCCGTCATAAACCCAAAATACGGTCCTTGGCAGAAATGGTCTTGCAACAAACCTGTATGTGCCCGCTTGTCAGTGTAACTAATAAATAAAAAGTACTGAATATAAAATACATGTACGATTCCGAATAAAAACTTTAAGAACGTGGTTTGCGTTATTCATTTATTTATTTAAACAAACGCTCTCGTCTTTTGAACTTTATGAAGAGTAAATCCGATCTGAGATTTGAAATCGGGAATAACAGATACATACATACATAATAACAAAAGATATACGTTCCCAAATAAAAAAAATAGGAGAAGAATCTAGATTACAATCCAATAAACAATATCAAGTTTAAAATCCGACAATACACTCCGGCCGTAAAAGTTTCTGAATTTAATAACAACGTATGTGACTGTGTAATCATATCCATTGATGTTGTAAACTATACTACGGTTTAAGCAGAATTTGCTCCTTGAATAATTCCTGCCTCGATAGTGTAGGGATCGCTCACATCAGGTAGGCCATCATAAGAGGGAGGTTTTCACATAAGTCAGAGAGTATGTTAAAGGACACTCTTCTTCTCACTGACCTTGTAAAATTGTTCTATAGTTAATACCATGCACAATTTAACAGTACCATATAATAAAAAAACAACATATATTAAAGGTGCAACAATGAGTGCAAAGCGGCCATTAAATGATCATGGACCATTTATTAAAGTTTGGATTGCCCGCCCTATTTTTCCCATTTTTTAATTTTTGTATAATCTCTCATTAGGCCTATAGCTCAAAATATCACTAGGGACCAAGGGAGAAACCTAGAATTGTGTCATGGAATAGGCTGTTCAGAATGTCAGTCGCTTGCCGTCGGGAGACCGCATCGCTCACTGGAATAGCATACCAATGTTAATAATAGCCTAGTGTCATTGCTATAAACTGCTATTTGATTGGTCGATTCAGTACCATGTGATCAAAAATACCATAACATATATTAAAGTTCTATTTGGATTTTAAAAGACGTATTGCCGGGCGTATTTTCCTCCCGGGAATTCTGACAACGGTACTGGACGAAAACATCGGGAGACTGCTCCGCCCACTGTCTGAAGCCAATGTTTTTGCTATAAATCAAACCACGGGGATCTACACGACCTGTGATTTAAATACATGTTAGTAAAGTGATCATCAAAATGAATGTCCTTGCTTGCTTTTAAAAATAAGTTTTCATGCGTTATAGGCCTATACAGATTGAACGGGGGGGGGGGGGAGTAATGTGTCTAAAGACATGATAATAATATGTTACTTCATTTTATTTCATATAATTACTCCAAATTTTCCCATTTCACTCTTCAGAGTTATTGAATTCCTTTTTAAAATATACGAATTCGTGAATTTGTTCCATCGTATGTATTACTCCCCCTTCCCCGTTCACGGCAACCGCATTCGTATGGTACGTGTACATGTACATTAAACTAACAAGAAAGCAATAACATTAGTTTTGTGATAATAACGTCCCTTATAAGTATTTGTTTTCGGCTCGTGTAGATCACTGATTTATAGCAAAAACATTGCCTTTTGCACGTTGGTGACGATGAACCCTTTTATATTAGATGTCATGATGTTTGCAGCGCCTACTGTATTCTTTAAGCAATTCAAGAGTAAACTTTCTCTTTATCTTGAAAAAAAATCTTCTAGATTTGTTGAATTTTCTTGCAGAAATCGACGCCTCATTTTATCCGATCAAAAAGCGTAATGTTGCATTTATACAGTTTCATTTTACATTCTATGGCCGAGATCTTAACTTTAACTGGTTACAGCAACTGCTCAACGGACGCTCAGCGTTATGTTTTAGGCATCTTTACGCGATTTTTATTGAACCGTTCATTTCATTAAAATATTTCAAATCATAAAATATATTTAAGTTACATAAAATGAGGTAAGTGGATTGAGACAAAATATCCTTGTATCTCTTTTGAAAGGATCGGGCGGTGGTTAATAGTCACAAATAGTTTATTCCGATTAGCTAAACATTTTACATAATGAGTTTTATATTGAAATTGTTTTGAATGGCGATGAATTCTGATAAAAAAGAGAAAACTTGAACTACTCGCATTTTTGCGTTTAGTAATCAGTCACAATCAAAATATTTACCGTTCATGTTTAGGTTCCAGACGCTTGGCGCCCGCTAAGTAAACAATTAAAATATCAGAACAGGTTATTTGCCGAATAATAGGTTACACACTCTCAGAACCGGTTATTCGCCGAATAATAGGTTGAAGTCCTAGAATAATGTATGAATAATATTTTTTCTTGTAGAATATAATACAATGCAATCTTAGTTGAGAAATTATTATACGCGTTTAGAAGAAGTATAAGATGCAAGAAAAACGTTTATATTTAATTATTTTCTTCTATACTTTAAATAAGATGTTATATTACACCGATTTATTCGGAAAAAAGAAATATACCAATATAAAACAGCTGGTAATTATAGGATATATTAGATTACCTCACCATCTATATTGCCATATCTACGGTAATATTTCCTATGATTTTCATAGTTTTTTGCAGTGTGAGGAGCAGAGTGGCTTTGATTGTAGGCTTGGGCTGGTTGTCTCTGGTCCCTAGGCACTTGCTGAAGAACAATAAAAATAAATTGAAGCGTATGCAATGCAAACAAGATTAAAATCTAAAGGTAGAATGAGACATACAGTCATACAGAGCATTTACTTTCAGAACAACTGTGTCTCATTTATTACATTTTGTCTACATGATGCCTATTTTCTAATTTCATATACCCTATTCGAGGAAAAACAGAGATGTCTGCCCAGAAAAAGTATAGATATTGATATTTTGGCCTGGCTGCTTACAATTATATCTTCAGACTAACATGGATCTTTTTAAAACACAGGGTGCTTCAGAAAAATGCAACCCACTTACCTGTTGTCTATTTTTTGTAAATAAAAAGATATGCATTGTTAGGTGGGTTGCATTTTTAAACACCCTGTTAGTGTACATTGTATATCATGATATTGGTTAGAAATTCTGCTTCACATTGTGCCAGGCTCTAAGATTTAAAATTAGACATCTTGATTAATTATTAGATACCTGCTATCCTAAATCTTCCCTAGACAAACTTTTTTCTAAGAATTTTAAAAAATTTCTCTCATTTTACATGGAATTTTAATGAGAAGTAAAAAATATTTAGAAAAAGCTTGTCTGTTATTACATGTACCTGGTTGTGCATCAAATAAAACTAGATGTACCCAATCAAAACAAATCAAAAGCAAATCCAATGGCTTCCACATGAAACTATATGAAATTAGATTGCCATGTCATGCAATTCAACTACTATAGCATGTAATAATAATTTCCAGCAATGATAATTAATCTGGAATGTTTTGATGTAAGTGAAATCAATGTATGTAATTATTTCCTAGTTTGCAATTTTCATTCTTTTTTAAAAAGAAAATATTTCTAACCTGCGCAGGCCTTGTAGCATGGAACTGTTGTGGTGGCTGGTCATAATATTGCTCATCAGGGTATTCTTGCTGTGGATGGTACTCCTGGGGGTCAGGAGCGTGTTGGTAGCCCTGTGGATCATATTGCATAGGTGGTTGCTGCCTTGGATTCCCCTGGTAGGCACTTGGTCCAGGGGCTGCCCTGTGGGAAATAGGAATTGGGCCCAGGGATTTTCCAGCAATAGGACTCGATAACCTGAGATTAATATCAACACTTACTTTTTGTCCATCTTCAGTATACATATGATGAGTTGAAGGCTGTTGGAATGCAGCCTCATGTCCCTGAGAATATACTGGATCAGACTGAGATTGCAATGGGGAATGGTGCTCTATAGGCTTTACACGGTGAGGAGGTTTATTTATGGACCCATCACTTGGATACCGCTTCATTGCACCACTATAGCCTTGCATCTTTTTCTGTTTATGCGCAGACAGTTTCTGAGATCTATTTTTCCAAGTATCCTCCGCTGAAGTTGGTTTTTCAAACGCTTCCTTAATAGGTTCATCAACTGATATTCTCCTAGATATATATCCATCAGAATATGCTGATTTCATACTTGAGGCAGCACTTGGCATACCTTGTTTACGATGAGAATGTTTCTCCATGATCTCATTTTCTCGTTTCTTTTTCTGAAGCTGTCTACTATAGCTACCTCCAGAGGGTGGTTTCTTACCATACGTTGACCTATTTTCTTTGATGTAATCTTTGGAATGTTTTTCTGGTTTAACAGTTTTGGCGAGTCTTTGCTTTTTACCTCGCTCTTGGACCTTACTCTGCATGCTAGCTGAAGCTCTTCTCCATTTCTCTTCCTGATCAATGTCATCATTCTGTTCAATAGGTTCTTCCTGGTACACTTCATTTTGATCATTATCATTTTCATTTCTAGAATTCTCTTTATCAGAATCATATTGCTCTCCGTGCCTCTGAGAATTATAATGTTGTTTCTTGTATGTAGGACTAGGTTCATGTGTATTATAGCCATGTTTATCTTCAACATGATGACTATCTTCAATGTGTTGACTATGTTCATGTACATCTTCTTCCAAGCTATCTGCACTGTATCTACGAGATCTCTGTCTATGTTCTTCAGGATAATCCCTTTCATAATGATCATCTTTATGAGTGTGTGTATAATTACCCCTGTCATAATCACTATCCCTGATATAATCTATTTCATTATAATCTTCATTGTCTGAATCATCATATTCCTCATAATTGCGTCTATTGCTTTGTTCATATTGTTGAGGGGAAGATTGGCGATATTTAGGAGTAGTTTGCCTTGCGTCATTGTATTTACTCCTTGGAACTGGAGATATTCTTCGTCTTTCATTTCTTGGACTAGGAGACCTTTTTTGACTTTCATTTCTGGGGCTATGAGACCTCCTCCGCCTTTCATTTCTTGGACTAGGGGACCTCCTTCGACTTTCATTTCTTGGACTAGGAGACCTCCTTCGCCTTTCATTTCTTGGACTAGGGGACCTCCTTCGCCTTTCATTTCTTGGACTAGGAGACCTCCTCCGCCTTTCATTTCTTGGACTAGGGGACCTCCTTCGCTTTTCATTTTTTGGACTAGGAGACCTCCTCTGCCTTTCATTTTTTGGACTAGGAGACCTCCTCCGCCTTTCATTTCTTGGACTAGGGGACCTCCTTCGCTTTTCATTTTTTGGACTAGGAGACCTCCTTAGCCTTTCATTTCTGGGACTATGAGACCTTCTTTGATGATTATCATCAAATTCTTTTTGAGGTAAATGTTTTTGGTTTGCGTAATTCTTAACTTGATCATTCTCTTTTCGAGATCTTTCAGGAGGATGTGGGCTTCTGTATCTTTCATCTCTCCTCCTTTGGGGAGAATCTCCCCTGTTAGATCTCTTCGGTGGCGTGCTAGCCAGAGAATGTTTCTTTGGGGGATTATCTCTATAGTTCATTTTAGGAGGCGTTTGTTTCCTTCTTGGAGGGGATGGACTGACATCTCTGTAGTTTATATGTTTAGCATGTATAGGAGTGATTTCCTCCTTATATCTCATAGGAGGAGTCTCTTCTCTCTTCATACCAGGAGACTCATTCCTGATGGTTCTTCTTTGAGCCTGAGAATCAATTTTAAAATTTTTCTTTTGAGGTGTATGTGTCTCCTCCCTTTTATTTTGCCTTCTTGTGGACCTGTCATTTTTATCGTTATAGTTTTCATCATATTGGATGTCTTTTTGAGGAATATTTCCTCTTTTGGGACTTTTGCTCCTTTGAGATTGTTCTACAGGACTATTTTCCCTGCTATAAGTCCTATTTGCATCCTCTGCATACTGATGATTATATGTGGGAATGGTTTTATTGGAATCATGATATCTGTTATTGTCTCTATCATCATTTTGATTCCATGAGTTATATTTACTAAAGGGTTCAGATCTAGGTTCCCCAGCAGCTTGTTGCTTAACTTTTATTTCCAGGCTATCTCTATAAGTAGGAGGAGCATACTCCTCTAAACTGTCTCTGGGAGTTTCCTCATCAGATTCTCTTGGAGTCTCCTCCTCTAATGAATCTCTTATATCGACACTTTTTGTAGGTGTTACTTTATCAACTATAAGCTGATTTCTTATTGAATTATTATCAACTCTGATTTTCAGGTCTTCTTGATATTTCTTTTCTCTTTTAAGGTCCTCGTTTGTTGCATTTGATTTGTTCTTCATGATGTAATGCTTGGATGACTGTTTTGCTTGAGACGTAGGAGGAAGTGTATACGTCTCTGGTCTTGCTGGCCCCATGTTGCTGGATGTATCAGATCTGCAATAGTGAAAAACAATTTAGACCAATGCATTTATAAAGGACAAAATGCGTCACCCATATTGTACATGTAGTTGCAATTCACAAAAAAAGTGGCTATATACTTCTGTTGATAATAGTACTATGTTATCATTCTTCGTGGTGACAAAATCTCATTACCTTAAAGGTACGTTGTACCCTTATTGTACCTGCCATTTTTGCGACTTTGCCATATTATATGTTTTTTTGCATTTCTAGAATTACATCATGATCATATTAAAAATGGACCTGGCAGGGGGGCTTCTCTAAAGCCTACTGTACAGCTTACTTTCTTAGAAATAATGTTTTGGGTTGTCAGTGACAACAATAACAAAGCAATGAGAGAAAATAATTAAGAAAGTTCATGTTGTTTGATGCTGAATTATTGAATTACGTTAAGGCAATTAGTGTTTTAAAAAATAAAGATAGATCTCTGGCTGAACTTATTACAAAGAGAATTGCATGATGCAAAATTAAATCAATGAGCAGAAATAATTACATACAATGAAACCTGTAAAGTGGAACAATTCTAGAGGTAAATAACCTCTATTAGTGGAACCAAACCAACTGACTTAAATGTTAAATGAACCTCTATAAGTGGAACACCTCACATGTGGAACACTTTTGAGAGGTACCAAAGGTGTTCCACTTAGACAGGTTTTACAGTTGCATATTACTAAAATCATTTTGTTGAAATTACCAATACCACAACAAGAAATTGGAGAGTGGTCTCCGTTTCAGTGTACCTGGTGTTTTAATGAATCAATCGTGTATGGTACATGTTGATCCAAGACAGAAAGTTCCGATCCAAAATTTCATTATTAATACATTCCCTAGCAATTTTCCTATTACATGTATATCTATGACAGGAAGATCCAATCCGATTCTGTCTAATATTAATATATTCCCTGGCCATTTCCCTATCTCAATAGACATCCTGGTCAAATCAACAGGGGAATTTATTTCCAAGGGCAAATGATATTGGGCATCATGAAAATGCTTTTTACCTGTAAGTTGAAGGTTCATCATCATCATCATCTTCAATTCTGCTGCTCACAAATCTGTACTTATCTTCATCATCTTCTGGTTCCTCTACATACACTTTGGCAGTTTGTTTCTTTGACATATTAGACTTTGTTCTCTCATTTAACATTTGTAGTAATTCTGGGTTGGAAGTTATTATTTTTCCATGAGATTCTAATCCACGGGGACTTGTCATTGTTCATTTTGGCAATTAACTGGAAAAATAAAAATAAATTCTTATTCATGACATTACATTATGTTGTTGTTGTTGGTATCCTTCATATACAATGAAAAAAATGAGATGACAACCATTGACGGGTATCAGTGACAGGTATGTTCAAGTGACTGAGAAAGGTCATTTGACTGCATATATCATAAGAATAGAAGCCATCAAGGAAAATGATATTCCACTCAGGCCCATTAGGCCTATCAGCTTTTGCCAAGGGTTCACAGTTGAGAAATTTGGCTTAAAATTGGCCAAAATCATTTGAAAAGTGCTAAGAATGCTCATGCTATCGATTGCAAGATTTATGCCTGGCACAATCATCACCATGTTATCAAGTGTTTTTAAGTTTCGCAAGGATCCTGCCATGACTGTGGTATTGTTATCGTGAAAGGCTGGTATAACCGTGACAATGCTATATTATATTGCAAGACCTGTCATGACCGTGATAATGTTAAAGTCTGATATGACTGTGACAATCTTCACATTCTTGAATGAGATTAGAATTATAGTTTGGGGAAACGAATTATGAGTTAAAGTACATGTAGTAGTTCATGTAGTAGTAGTCTAAAGTTACATATTTAAGGTAGGTAAACGATGAAATTTTTCATTACAGCATTCTCATGCTACTAAATGTCAATTAATATAACAATTGTCATGGTCATATTGTGCTTTAACATTACCACAGTCATGACAGGCCTTGCAACCACTGTCACAGTCATATCAGGCTTTAACATTACCACGGTCATGACAGGCCTTGCAACCATTGTGACAGTCATATCAGGCTTTAACATTGCCACGGTCATGTCAGGCCTTCCAATATAGTATAGCATTGTTATGGTCATATCAGGCTTTAACATTATCACGGTCATGACAGGCCATGCAATAATATATAGCATTCGTCACGGTTATATCAGACTATTACGATAACACTGCCACGGTCATGGCAGGATCCTTGCGAAACTTAAAAACACTTAATAACACGGTGACAGTTGTGCCAGGCATAGGTCTTGCAACAGATATTGTCTCTAAGAATGGTGAAAAATTGCATGATTTTGAAAGAATTGTTGGCTTGTTGAACACCCAATCTCCCTGGCTATGCATACTAGGCACAGGTACTCCCTAGGTAATGAGAGTGTCAGGCTTCCCTCTAAATAAGTAAATCAAATTTACTGACTTACTTACTTAGAGGGATGCCTGACACTGTTATTACCCAGGGAGCACCTGTGATAGGCTAGGCCTACGAGGCTAAAAAAATCGAAAAAAAATCAGCCGGAAAGCAAAATAAAATAGGATTAGGCTACATCAAATCAACAGCTAAATAAGAAAGAACGATTGATAATAGTAACCTTACATAACTTAACTTCTCCTCTGCACGTCAGAGCTCGTAAAAAGGTAAAGATGCCATAAATCAATGATAAAATGAAATGTTTTGATTTTTTAAAATCCAAAATGGCAGATTTCTATCCCAGAGTTCCTTGCAATATTATCCAGTTTCCATAGAGATGACCCTGTAAAGGTCATTGACCCGGAAGTAGACAGGTGCTTGTTGCAACTTGCAGAGTTCAAAATCTCATCTTTATAATATTTTAGCATTTGACATCGTGTTACCGCACTCTCTCTACTCAGCGTAAGTGTACAAGGATAAGAAGTTTGCTGTTACAATCGCACTTGGTAAGTGTGTACGTTTGGTAATTTTATGCAGTAGAATGTTAGACTTGCTCCTAAGGCTTATCCAAATTCCCACAGTCAGAGAGAATGTTCTGCCGAAAGGAGATTCTGGGATAATCAAATTTATAATTGATATCTTATCTCATTCGAAGAACGTATTAGATGTCCGTGCAAATTCCAGTACAAAAAAATCCTAGTCCTCCAATGATTGTTCAAGCAGTGTTTCTTCAACATCAGAGAAAAAACTACGCATTGCACAGTTAAAATACCTACATGTACATCGATATGTTCCTGAGCATGGTCGTAGCGCCCGGTATGCTGGGTACGCACGGCATACCAAATTGTTGCAAATTCGCTCCAAATTTGATAATTTTCAGGGGGAAGAACCCCCAGACCCCCCTGAATGCTCGTTTTTTGATTCACTCAACTCTTGTTCATGTGGTCGTGGCGTACTACTTAGAAAAATAGCGCTACGCCCATGCTGAGTATCTTATGATTCTTTTTATTCAGTTTAATCAGAATTATCAATATGGGTTTATCGTGAGAGCGAGGAGATTTTTGTCTTACATCTGAAATGTCTCCACTAGCCTAGTAGCATTCCATGCGAGATTCCATTTTTTCGTAATAAGGACAGCCCGCATCACCCACGCCTATTTCCCACCCGCTCGATGACCAATGGCTCGACCTGCACAACAACAAAACCCAGTCACTGAGTACGACGCGTTATAGATGTCACTTGTGTTCATTACCTGTACTTCACAGAAGTCCCTTCCCATAATGCACCTTATTGCAGGAATATTCTCCTATAGTGTTAAGACAAATATAACCACCTTAACAGCTTAATGTTTTCTTTTCCTTAGCAATAATCTTTCATTTGGTATCTAAATTAAAACCGAACCAGCCGCAGAAAAGCAATTTGTATCATGGGAATGAAGTACTTTCATTTTTGCAAATGCACGAATAACTGTACCAAGTTAGACTGGAATCTCGCACAGATTGCCGTGACTCAATGTTTCCAAGGAGGATTGGCTCCCAGGATCGACACTCAATACATAATTTGCCAACAATTAAAACGTAAAAATGTCGTAATTTTCGCAAGTAATAAGTGACTATAAATTCAAAATAAACTATCTTCAAACAAACACCTCGATCATTTCTATAGTAGTTTTGGAATTTTCCGTTTGGAAATAATACCAAAATTAATGATTCAAATATTGAAGTGAAAAAAATGGCGGCTGTTTGAATTCGAAATTTGTAACAATGACATGCTACCCTTTGCATTCGTTTGACTTCACTTCTTAAAAGAGAGCTTCGTCTTCACTCTTTCAAACTAAAATAAACCTGTGAACTCACCGCGCCAATCAGTGTCCGTCGGCCAAATTTGACCGACGTTCTATATATGGTCATTCTTTCTGACGTCATCGTTGAGCCCGGAATTGACCAATGACATGCACATATTTAATTAGAACGCATTTGGCGTATGTTTCTTCAAGCTCGCGGATTGGTGGAAGAAAGGTCAGCGCGTAGGTCAAAAGTGATTTATTACCCAAACTGTCACCGGTACCTGTCGTGGGGGCGGGGCTACTAAACTGTAATATGGTATCTACTAGGCAGAGTGTAGTTTAACTAGACTCTGCACGCAGGGTAATGACATGCCCATATACATGGCAAAATATCGATGTTGTACTCTGGGAGCCAATCCTTCTTGCAATGTCTCAGCACTTTTCAAGATGTCGGAAGGAGAATCCCCTAATACCAATAGTCTACATGTACATGGAGGAATTTTGCGATTTAAAAATGAATATTTTCTCTTTCTACCAATTAACCTATACGATTGGAGATCCCATGGAGATTCTTTTTTTTATTTGATTTTTTTTGTTTCAGAGAAGAAAAATATGTTAAAGCAATTGCAAAAAACAATTACAATACAGTTACATGGTAAACGTACATTTTACAATCTCCCATGGAGATTCTACTGCGTAAAATATATCCTTATACTCAGTTACCTGTATTTAGTTATATGTAGTTGAATTCCCAATCGTATGGGTTAGTCAGCAGAACAAGGAAATTTTCATTTTTAATCGCAAAATTCCTCAATCAAGCGATTGTACAGAATTTTGTGATGAAATAGTAAAGATACTCTCAGAGTAGTCATACGTGGACAGTCAGACATAGTCAGTGGCACCTAAAATTCAAACTGAAATAATAACTTGCACATTTTGGATTTTTTCAGCATACAAGAATGAACTATTAGTTGAGGATAGAGATGGCGCCAATCTCCTGGTATGAATTCTTGAGTCCACTTCGTTCTCGCTCAAGTTATTCTGAACAACCAAAGAACATTATCACAATCAACAACACTAAATGTCTGTCATCCTTCTTTGGTAAAAAGATAGCAGCTACTCGGGAAGACAACTTCACTGTTACACCATCTGCTGCTTCAAAAAAAGAGAACAGACAACCACAAAATGAGTCAAATAAACCTGTGCTCAAATCAGACAACTATGCGCAATGCATTGCTACAGTGCATAAGGATGAAGGGAATGGTTCAGCAGTAGATTCATTTCTTGATATAAAAGAAGAAACAGTTCGACAAGATGATTCCATTTTTATTGCAACTCCTAAGAAGCCTGAAAACAGAGAACCTTTAAATGAATCAATCAAAACTACATCCACACTGGATAGCCCCTCTCACTCAACACAAAGTAAACCTCCAACACAAAGTAAGCCAAATGCCATACCCAATTGGAGAGATGATTTTGACTTCAGTAGTATTTTGGAAAAGAAACATTCTTTGCTAGGTTTGAAACGAAAAACTGAAATTTCACTTGATGAACCACCTGCTATAATTATTAAGAAAGACGTGGATGATGATGTTATTGTCATTAGTGACAGTGATGAAGAAATTGCTTCAGATGCAGATACTGCTTCCAAGATAAAAGCTCAAGCTACAATCTCTGATTCCACTTCCCATCATAATATTAATAAGCCTGATGATCCGAGAATAAGAATGAAAGAAAATGTGGACAATACTACAGGTGCCATTTTAAAACTGATAACAACTGAAAGTGAACTCTTCACTAGAACAAAATCTCACATTCAGGAATTGAAATCAGAAAACTTTAAGCCAAAGGAAGAAAATGTGAAAAATGAACTGGTAAATAGGGAAGAAAAGCTTGAGCTTCTTAATGAACCTTGTACTATTTATCCAGATCGATTCAAGCCTCAACGGAAGCCCAAGGACTGGAAAAGTGACTTTTTAAAAACTGGGAGTGAATGGACGATTCCAATGTTAAGCAAATACCTTAATTTTAAGGACACTGTTAAGCCTTTAGTTTTCAACACAGATGATTCACCTGCTCCTGTATCAAAGAAGATCAGACGTGATATAGAACGGAGAAAGTCTGTTTTACAATTGAAAGGCAACAACCGGTCATTTCCCTCTGAGACTGCTTTAGAATGCCTCGGAACATGTGAGACTGATGCAAGGATTATTCTGGATGTAATATTTCTACCAATTTGTGAATATTTGGCTGTGTCTGTTAGAACAGAAGAAATAGTTCGTAGCTCATACCTTCCAAACAACCAGTATGACTATAGATTTTACATCAACAATCAATGTGTTGGTTGTTTAGAGGCCAAAGGGTCTTCAATGAGTCGCGAAAATGTCCCACAATGCATCCTTCAACTTCTGCTCCTACAGGCAGAATGGCAATCGAATGTGAACTTGAAAGTTGATGTCATGGATGTCCCTTTTTTCAATGTTCTGTCAGATGGCTTTAGATTTGTGTTCATTATTCTAAAAGGGAATTCCGTATATTTTGAACACCAGGACATTGAATACAAAACACTGCTCAAGGTGAATGAAGCTAGAAGTTGGGAGAATTTGAATAGCATTACACAGATGATTATAGAATGCATGGAGAATGTCAATCAAATTCTCCCAAATGAGTCCTCTGAGGACAGTCCATTCTTTTGAAATTTCACCAGTATTTTAGTTCACACTTGTGAGATTTCATACTGGTGAAAGATCACTACCGTCAGAGTTCATACTCATTCAAAATCTTGAATTCGAAATTTACCCTTGTATTAAATGTTCAAACTAATTATGTAAAGTTAAAGTCATCCTAGTTAATGTTTCAAACTATGAAATCACACTGGGTAAAGCTTGGCAAGAGATTCAATGCTAGCCTAATGCAAATAATTTATTATTTTGGTTATGTGGTATGGTACTTATTAAATACTGTTGAACGATTCAAATGTGTAAAAGTAATATGATTTCATCTGCACTGTCAACCCTGATGCATTAGGCGTGGTGGTTACGCATTTGCTGGAAAAAGACGTCCTTGGTTTATTGTAGTTATAAATTGAAACGAAATCTACTAAATTTTATTTTTCATTTTTATAATGTGACAAGTTGTATGTAAATTTTACAATATTCAATGTAAGATTTTAATCATTGTTAATAAGAAAAAATATGAATTAATGAATAGTCTCAGTGCAATGTTATCTATTTATTATGTTCTAACTTGAATGCAATTGAGTGGACTCTGGTGATTGCTACTGTATGGTGTAATATGATGCAACTGCATGTTGACATTTTAAGAGTACAAGTTTAGAAAGCTCACATATGTGAGAATCCTAAGACTTTCACACTGGTGATATTGCAAAGGAGTATTCATACTGGTGAAACTCCACACAGGTGAAAGGTCATAGTGCTCACTGGTGGAATTTCTATGTGGTGAAAAGGATGAGTCTGGGTATCGACTTAGAAAATATTGAAAATTGTAATGTCTGAAAAACCAACTCAATCATACATATTATTAAATCTCAATATCTTATCCTTCTTCTGAGATTACAAAAATATCAATTTGTATCACAATTGATGAAGAATATTGGCATCAAAGACAGTGCATATCACTTTATCAGTCTGAGAGTGGAAAAAAAATCAATGGCAAATATTAAACGAATTATTTATACAAAAAGTTTGAAACATATCCTCCAAAACATTGCTTACTTTCTTTGTATAAACATTGAATGGTATTTCTGGATAAGTGAATTGGTGTTTATCTGGGTAATCAAGGGATTATAGTCACTCAAAGTTACTGAGCATCCAGTTTTGACACTTCAATTGTGTTGGTGAAGTTACACATATTTCAGTCAAATTCATGCTGAGCACAACATTTTGGTTTCAATTTTATAATCTCTATACATGACCCTGGTGATGAAGAGTCAGAATCAGTCAAAAAATCTAAACCGGAAAACTGTGCTCATTGTGAAAACTAATAGTGAAGCATCTTTTTTCTGATATTTCTTACATCAAATGACAGCCATCTTGTTTTTCCCCCTTCAAATTAAACTGGCGGGAAATTCAAAAATTTGAAAACAAATTTAATCCTTAAAGTCCCCGTCTAAAGTTTGAAAATATTTTTTTATCATTCATTTACTATTTGTCAGGACTTAAAAAGTGATTTTAGAGACTTTTGAACAAAAACAATTTTTTGAAAAAAAAGTTGTGAGCATTTCATTTCTCAAATATTCAAATTTCCCGCCATTTTTCAAAAAAAGTTGAAATTTCTTAATCATCAAATATTTCTTAATGCAATTCAAAAAAGATTATCTTTTTAACACCAATGCAAAGATTGAACAAAAGACACACTATTTCAATAATAAAATGTCATATTTAATGGGCTACTTCAATGTTTTAGCTTATCAAAAATATTTTGAAACATTAGTGATGTCACTAAGGTAACAAAAACTTTTTGAAAAAAATTGAATTTTTTTTTTCGATGTCAATCTTTTCTTAATATGCTAGACTTTCATAAAAAACCAATGTTGATTGTCTAACCAGGTTAAAAGGAAGAATAAATTATGTTTTAGATATCATTGTACCATTGGTTTCTATGAGAACTAAAATTTTGAAATGCATTTTTCTCAGAACCATTTTCATGCACTGATAAGTTCATTTCTCGCTTGTTTATGAACCGATTTTCTTAATTTTTTCGGAAAAAAACATGGAAGGATGTATGCTATGCATTGGTATGAATTGTGGCTAATTAGAAGATATGAGTGACCTCTAAAAGTTGGTTTTAAATAAATTCACAAATTTTGGAACAAAAAGTCTATCAAAAACCACTTTTTGAAATTTAAAAAAAAAGTTTCACATATCACACTTTGATAACATTGGATAAGACTACAATATAAGCCAAAGTGGTTTAAACTTTACATGGGGCCTTTAAATATATTTCAAAAATATGATTTTCTTTTTAATTCCTCATGGGTCTTAAGTTATTTCTTCTTTGTATGTCATACGTGTTGCCATTGGTGTTATTTGTTAAGATACTTATTCTGACTCTCAGCAGGGGGTTAATTATGCATCAAAACTCGTGAAAAGGTAAATATACTTATCAAATATAACAAGGACAGTAATAAAAACCATATTTCACATACAATTGACAGAGGGACCAAAAGGGCATATATCCGGACACATCCTTTATACTGAACTGCAACTCACAAAACAGAGTTAATATGTTGAAAGTATTTTAGTATTTTTTGAAATGTCAAAATTCTTATATTATTTTTACAAAATATTTTTATTATTAATTGCAATTATTAACTCATGAGTCTGTAAAATAATGAAATACATGCATTGTACCCACACTCATAAGACATTTTGATTGGAGTTACTTTTAATCGTGTTAAATAAATAAATTTTGATATGTTAATGCTTATATTATTTGCCATTATTTTATTATCCAATCGACTAAGATCAGGGGAATATAGAGAATGTGTGTTTCCTTCCTTCCATCCGTATGAACTATTCATCCATCAAAGGCAAAAACTGATTTTTGATAAAGTTGTGTTCGCAACTTGATCATAAAAGCCGAACCAGAACTCTGTTTCCGTCTTGTTTTTGGCACTCACTTCTCAGTTGATAAACAATTTAATTATGATTAAGGTAAAGACTTATAATTGATTATTGTCATCGGAATCGTCAGGTTTTATCTTATATATCTAGTCCCACATCAAATCATAATTTGCGTCTCAACTGCTAAAGACAGTATCACATGTCCACCGTGACATTTCATATATTATGTCATTATTCTTTTGGAAATCAAAGTTACTTTGAACAATAGTCAGGAATGTCAAATACACTCAAATCTTTAATCCCTTCTTGGAAGCTGGAGAACCGCATAGTCGACGTAAGATCAGTTTTTCCCCATTCTGCATTTGCTTCACCAATAGTTGTCACTGTAACTGGGATACAATCGGCAGTCAATGTCTCTTCAAAGGCGAAATTGTATGTGTCACCTTGTAACTCTCCACTCCATGTGTTCACCTATAGGAATGATTGAAAATTATTACTACAGACCGTCTTGCAGACTTGCACATGCAAAGGGGCCGTCTCATGGTCCCAATGCAGCCACGTCGGTTCTGACTTTGTACAATGTAATTATTATTCAAAATCTACATTGTACAGCTACCACAGGAACGCCCTAACGTGACGTAACGTGACCCAAATATTCTTGTCAAAGTATTCTCATATGACCATTTGGGCGATTTTTCGACTGTTTATTTTTTAAGTTACTAGTACCGTAAGTTTAAGATTATTGTTCCATTCATAATAGTTATAGTCTTATATATGTGTGTAATGACAAAGTGACGCAGAGTTCTACTTTTTTGATTCCTTTGGATGACTCCTGTCACCCGATTGGGCTTTGGAGAGTTATTTATGTACAGAAACTAATGGTCAATTTGTAGAAAACTTTGGCCATTTTTGCAAAGCCAATGCCTGCGCCCATTCTTTAAAACCGTTCAAAAAAATGAAATCTAAATAAAGCCAAAATATACTAACCATGAAATCTCTCCCAAGAGTTTCTTGTCCCATAAACTTTGCATCCTCGGGGACGCATCCATCAAATGGAGGAAAGGGCTGTGCCATTACTTGACAGGTTCTCGTTGCTTTATTAATATTGTATTGTTTCTTTGCCACATTGTCCTGTATGAAGTTAACTTGTGACTCTTTGCCATTTAAGATCATAATTCCTTCAAATGCGTTTGTTTTATTGCGTCGATCATACCACCAGTGGCCATCTAAATGCTGGGACATACCTTGTCCGTTGATACTGAGGCCTTGAATCAGTCGAACATTAGCCTACAGGATAAAAAGGAAAATTAGGTTAATGCCAGTATGGGTCAAAAATGATTTGTTAATATGCAATATATTTTTCAAAAATGATTGCATTTCAAAAACAATGGAGATATAAAATGTTTTTCTAAAAATCGCATACAGTAAATGAAAATCCAGTGGTATCTAGGGAAGAAAGGTTATTTATACTTAATCCTATACAAATGCAAATACAAATATACTGAATGCAAATATATAGTGATAGGAATAAACCAAAGAGAAAAGTTAAAAAAGTTATGATGGAAAATGATTTAAATGACATAAGCTTATAAATCAACTACTGTGGGAAACTATTCACTGAATTCAAACATCTTTAAAATCCCAAGAAAAACGAGTCAGCAAGATTTTAAAGAAAAACTCCTTCATTGTCAGTGTATTCTGTCTTCTGACCCTAAACTCTATTAGCCAAATTCTACACATATAATTATTGAAAATATGTTTTGGAAATGGGGATGACTTGTTATATATATATATATTTCTTTATTGCGACCAATTCTGATCATATACATATAGTTTAACATAAAAGGTTATAAAAGGTTATGAAGAAAAAACATACAAAAATATAACAAAATATACAGTAGTTGTTTAGTGCAGGACGTTTAGAGAATTGAGAAATCTAGTTCTCAGTTGGTACATATGATACACTGTCCTGGCTATTATAATACAATCATCATATTCATTTGGGGCAAAAATATTTTCAATTACATTTAGGTCACTTCCGCCTAAGTAAGGTCGTATAGGATTTCTAGTTGTTTCCAGCACATCACAAAACTTAATAAAATGTAACAATGATTCATGCGAATTACACATTGGGCATACCCTATTCACATTTGGCTCGGTATGACGACCAACACCTTCACCAACCAGTAGTCTCACCATAAGTTTACATTTGAATATCATTTCAGGTTTGTATTTACATAGCTGGTACCAGACTATTGGAGTACGAGTAGTTACTACTTCTCTATAATGTTTGATTTTATTATATGTCATACATTGAAAACGCCATCTTTGCAGAGACTTTGTAAGAACAGAACTTTTCACTATCTTTTTCCAGTGCCACTTGGATGGAAATGTGTTATTAGAAATATAGCTATCCATTCTTCCTATAAGATCATATTGCATTCCAAGTTGTATAATTTCCCTAATTGGTGATGAAACTGTAACAGCACATTTATCTACGAAGAAGCTATATAGTATAGCATACCATCTAAAGATACTTAACTTCTTACAAATACCAACACTAGTATTACACTAGTATTACACCCGACCAAAGAAAATCAATAAAAGTGTACAAATGTCCATCAGTTAATTATAAAAAGGCATTTGCAAACCTGATAGAGCTGTGGTGGACAGCATTTTGGAGGGATCGTGATATGATTATTTAAAGCATTTGCTGCAACAACTGCGAAGACCGCAAACAAGCAAAGTAAACATGTTGTAAACATCATGTTGATTCTGAAAATAACCCAAAAGTTACAATTATTCATTATTATAAGTTTATAAATAATCTACTATTCGGCGTCAAAATGGGGTTCAGTGGTGCAGACGAATCCCAACCAATATATCGATCTTTTAAAGCCCTAATGTGCTATAAAATAAAGAAACAGAATTTGTCTGCAGAATGCCACCTTGTCTAACCCCATTTTGGTGCCTTTTGCCACTGTTTCTATCAATATAAGAGGTGTTTTCTTTATGAAGGGAGTCTGTTCTATCAAACGGTACAATCATTTTTTGTGGGAAAGTACCGGACAACAAAACCTCTTTTCAGAGGGACCAGATCAGAGACCAATTGTCAGTTGATATTGAATGAGTTATGCTGAAAATATCATGTGAGGGGTTGCATAAAAATTCCTAACGTACACACTTACAGTGCTGGTATATATTAATTGATTAGTCGTTTTATTGCCATATTTTCTTGAATTTTAACATTTAATGTCCCAAACTCACACAAACTGCAGAAAAGTATACACCATAAATCATATATACCAAAATGAGTGTCTCCAAGGCTTCACACCAGCGTATGCATAGTTCATTTGTCACGAGTTTGAGCTGAAATTTCGCCAAAATGAAGTAGGCTCAGGGTAGTCTCTGCCAGGTTTGTTTATTGTGGTAAGCTTGTAAGTGCTCAGAAGCAAATAATTCATGTGCGCAAAATAATCAAATAATTTGATTGGTTAAAACTTTGCTGCACATGCGCACAATGTATGCCATGTTTTTTCTAGTGATTTCGTTTCGTTTCATGGAGTTTGCGTTTCAGTGTAACTTCCGCAAAAATGGCGGACCATGAACAGAATTAACAGGTAAAATCACTTCGTAATTTCAAGAGAACTTTTTACCTATAATAGCAAAACTTTTGTTTTATTTGTGCATTCTATCTATCAGATAAGAGTCTCAGGGGTATGTAGCCAAATTTATTTTGGTAGGAGCACTCTGTTTAGTTTGAAAACGCACCCTTAATTATTATATATCAGCACTGTACCTTGGCTTAGAACTTACAACACGTAAAAATTGTTTACCTTTTGGAAGTAGCCTAGTTTGTGATCCCGAGTTTGTTTGATAAGCCTAAATCATGTAAATAATAGGTTATTCTCGATCTTTTTGTTTCCTTGTTATCGCCTGAGTCTTATGTATATGACATAAATGTAAGCGGTGAATCGACAACGTAGACTGTTTATGAATCATTTTTTATTTACCCCACGTGAACATGAATCAGCTCAGCACAAGGAGGATAAGTCCCATTCAAAATCGATCTTCCGTTGCCTGGCGTTGAACAATTTAGTAATAATACTTCTATGAAGTTCATCTTAGCAGAGACATGAAAAACATGTCTCTGATCTTAGGACCACCTAAGTGTCACCAGTGTACGGATATCATGGTAATATTCAAATTTCTAAAGCAGTACTAGCTAGTCTTGAACGATATTGGTAATATTGTTACCAAATTGTTCCGAAATCCTAGTAATGGAATATCGAGTTTGAATAATGGTCGTCAATCCTCCTTAGCACCCCGGGTGATCAATATCCTGCGTTCCGAATTTCGTTCCAGCAAGTCAGTGACCCGAGTTGTGTTTTACTGAATCCCGACAAATATGGTGGCTAATTGACAACAGACGATGTTGATGTCGACAATTATTCAAAACTTTCTGACAGCATAAGGTAAGACTGAATATAGAGTGGCGCATTCGGTGCCTAAATATGTTTGCAACATTTTCTTAGTTGTTTATCCATATGCGTTGGGCATTACTGCTAATCGAAGCATAAGTAAACGTGACCTCATTTTCAACGCTCGCTGGAAAGTATGTCACCGAGCAGTTTTTGACCTTCTGTTAGTTAATGAGATAAACTGTTATCATGGTATAATTGCTGGGTAGACGTTCAAAGTATGAACCAACTCGTGCTTCCAGTGAATGTAAACCATTTCTTTGCATAAGCGTCCTAGAAGGCATAATAAGATATATTCCATAGTACCGAATAGGAATCGCCAGTGTTCCGACGCACTTCATGGATAAATGCTCATAGACTATTGAATCATAATGAACAGAAGCAGTGTATACTCACGTGTGATATCTTAATTTATCAAAAATAAGAATTGAATGCATTTGATAATATTGATACTTTGCCAACTTGACTGATTTTTTTTCTAGTCTGAGTAATTAATAAATGAGTAGTGGATTTGATTAATTGAGGATTTCCCATGTTAAAATATGTGAAAATTGTCAAGAGGCCACACACATCAGAGGATGAGAGTACAATACAACATGTGTAAATTATGAGACTATGTTGCAACACCTTCAAAGAATGGTCATTTCACAATCCACATTGCACATACTGTAGCAGGCATTTTTATGATATATTTTAACATTGTCACAAAAACCAGTGATTGACAAAAAATATAGCATATCATATAGCAGGTATATGCCAGGTATTGTAATATATTTCAACGTTGTCACTGTTAGAGTAGGCATTACAATTTACCCATAAAAATATAATAATATTGACAACAGGCTAAAAAGTCTTCACTTAGTAAGCCATAAATGTCACATAAAGGCGACGGTCACACCAGGCTTTCACGATAGCATTGCTAAGGTAATAGTCCCTGGTATGACTTCCGAATATGAAGGATCCGTAGCACACTATTAGCGCAGCAACATTTGAAGCAATATTTATGAAGGTGTATATGTCTTGATTCTTTTAAAATACCATTTGCCGAAAAAACTTCCGGCTTTCGGGTCGAAAAATGTATTTCATCACAAGGGGTCAAAAAACGTAAATATTTTGATTCGAACTTTTATAAATTTTATAAGACACAGACCGTTATTCTAAGCATACGAACAAAAAAATTGATTATCATAATGTAAAAATTACTATGATTTTACTGTAGATGTCGGTGTTTAATTAGTGTAATTACACAAGTGTGTTTTTCAGATTTTGTTTGATTTTTCAAATATGAGCTAAGCCGATTCAACAAAATTGTATGGAATATTTAGGTAATTTTTTTTGATTGGGAACGTATTAGTTTTCCGGTAGTTTTCTTACCAGTTAAAACATTTTATTACCAGAATTTTTCCATATAATCGTAAAGGGTCTAACAACAAATTATTGTTGATGTTTTATAAAACATAATACAATAACAAATAGGTAAGATTCATATCTAATTCGATGTTACAGAGGTATTTGCATGTTCATATATTCCAAGGGCATGTCTAATAATCAATTAGAGTCATATGCAGTCGAACGCCTTACAATTCTTCCTCGACGTTAGTTGTGGCTATCATCAAGTTTTCTGATGGTTGTTTCTTCTTTGACCTTACCGAAGGATGCAATCAAATTTTAGGAAGATAATGATAACGATTTTTCTCAATTATTCATGAATTCGACCAAGTCTTGATGGTTGTTTCATAAGTAACTGAGCTATATCTAACTACGAGAAATGGAATTTTAGCTGTAGTCGCAATTAGTCAAGGGAGAGCAATATGCCCACCTTTATTGATAATGTTCACCGCTGAATAAAAGTTCATATCTTAAAACGTATTGAGACCCATTTTGCGAAAAACTAGCATAATTTAAGCATTTGTCATTCTAATAGAAAAGTGATTCATTTGTAGCATTTATCTTATTAATACCCGAGAAACAATACAAAATGTCGATACACTGATGACATAATCTTTTGGTATTGAATAGAAAAATAACCTCAAACTTTTAGCTTAGAAACCTAAATCATATACTTAAAATCATATTTTATTATTTGCTATTGCATTGTGTACTCCAAATTGTAAAAGTTTGGAAGTTTATTTTTTGGAAATTTTTTGACCTCTGTTAATGGCAGGCATAATTTAGCCTTAAAGCCGGAAGTATATTAAACGGTTATAATAAAAATTATTAGGGGACATATGTAGGTATGCTTATGTTAGGTCAAATATCGCTGCGCTATAGTGTGCTACCAGCTCCTTTATTAGACGTCCTAGAGATTTCATACCATGGACTATAATGGCAGGATCCATGCATAATTTATTAAATCAGGCCCGCAGATAGGAGGGGGGGGCCCTGGTCAGAAATTCTCTCAAAAACTTGCAGTTTTTCACCATTCTGAGCACTTTTCACATGATTTTTTGCCAAAACAACAGATGCCAGCCAGATCATACTTATAGTAGAAGGCTAGGCTCAAATAAACCTCAAATTGAGGTATTATCATTGAGATACTGATACTATACATACGATCGTGCTATCAAAACTGTCAAAAAGCCCCCCCCCCCTTGGCAAAAACTCCACCCTTGGTAAAACCGCTCACCAATGGTGAATCCTGGATACGGGCCTGTAAATGGTCATCGTGGTTGTACCAGACAGCAATGCAATGTTTTGATTTGCACACATTTTTTATTTTTAAAAATCTAATTGAGAGCATCCTAATCATGTGAAAAGTTCAATTTTTTTTGAATAGTTATATTCCTTCTATAAAGTGGGTACACTTTTTGGGACACCCTGTATTTGCAGTTCAATGCCAATGTGGAAATCAATATACAGGGAAATTCGATCTTGAATTTGTAAAATAATAACAAGAAAGGTAGCACCAAATTAGCTTGATGTATTCATGAATGGATTCTCAAAAGTATACAAAATATATATAATCTTATTCTGTAGCTTCGGGACAATGGCGATTCCTATTCGGTAGAATGGAATATATCTTTCAACGACTTCTATGACGCTTATGAAAGGAAATAGCTTGGATTCAAACATAGCACAAGTTGAGACATACTAATAAGGTATACTTTACAGTTATACAATGCTCAGAGTATCCATCATTACTTACAGAAGGCAAAGAACGACTCGCTGATATCGTTTTCTGCGAGCTTTTCGAATTGGGTCATGTTGGTTTCATGCTTCGATTTGCATTAATAGCCTACACATATGGATAATCGTTTATGAACATGTTGAAAACATATTCCAGCACCGAATGCATTACTCTATATTCATTCTTTCCTTATGCTATCTGATTTGTTTGACATATTTTCGTCACCTGGCTCGTCGAGACGCCATATTCATCGGGATTCAGTAAAAACACAACTCGGGTCACTGACTTGCTGGAACGAAATTCGGAACACAGGATATTGATCACCCGGGGTGCTTAGGTCAGCTTGTACTTTCAGGTCAATAGCTAGGTGCCTTATAACATTCCAATAAATGTTCAGGTCAATAGCTAGGTACCTAAAATATTCCAAAACAGCCATCATACCGACCATGTTGCTACTTTAATCGCACCTTACCATGTCGAGAAGGAATATTGAGAAGATTAAGATGTCCATCCGTTCGTTCGTACGTCTGTTCATTCTGTCTTGGACGGGCGTACGGGCGGACAGACGCACCTAGGTTAACAATAGGGAGTTAAAGCTTGCAATGTTCTTCACAACTTAAACGAGAACGGAAAATATTTAAGTGATACATTTGTATGGGTGATTGGTCATCCATATAGGTTGGCGTTTCGATTTTTTAAACTGCTTTTTTGGAAATGGCCACATATTAGCCATAATTATTTATATATATGTTTATGTCATATATATTGCTATGACATAAACAATGGACGCGTATCACAATCACCATTCATGTGCTCATCCATGATACATATTTATTTGTTCATTTATTTACTTATTTATTTATTATGAAGTAGTGTGTGTTGTTATATATACTGTTTTCTGTTGTATTGATATATTGTGAAATTAGTGTTTACTTTGTGTACACTTAACCCTTTACGGCTATGCATGTGTAATAAAGTTCATAAATCTAAATCTATCAAGTTCAATAAAATCAATTCACTACTTTTCGAGTAAAATAACGCAAGTCAGGTAAAACACATTGAAAGATGGCCACCTACTAGCCAAACCAAATTGTCATAAGACAGACTAGAGTACCATACTTATAAGAATTCGCAATTTCGCATATCAAATATGAACTAAACCGTTCTACTAGTTCCCAGTAACAGCAGGAATCGTACAACAGCCACCATTTTTCAAGATGGTCACCATGTTTTCTGAGAATAATTCAATTTTAAACTCGTCCTTTACATTTTTTCAAACAGGCAGTCATTTTGAAAATCTGCTTTCGAGTAGAACTAGTATAATCACATTCACATGGGGCATATACATATAAAATATGCGATATTGCGCCTGCGGTATTTGCCAGGACAGACGTATGTCAAAGCCCAAGTATACTTGGCTACCCATCTATTCTGACTCTTGCCGAAGTATACTGACCTGACCTAAGTATTCTTAGTTTACTTATTTCTTCGAATACACTCGATAGATGTCCACGTTAGTTTTTTAATCATTTTGTAGTTGGATTTATTTTATTAAAAAGGTGGCTCCTGTTATTCTGGTAGAGTTTTATATTTTTACTTCATTGATGTTTACGTTGGTAACACTTTGAGAAGTGATTTTAAATGCAAAGACATGGTAGTTAATGCATGTAAAAAAGCCAAAAATTCGTATTACTCAATTGCCAATGTCCGCATTGTAAAGGATGCAAATCCTCTTACTTCATTAAGAATCTGGATCAACATAATATTACCTGCCATGTTATTTGAATGTGAGCTTTGGTCAAACCTAACCAAAAAAGACATTTATTTGCTAGAACTTACACAACGTCAAGTAACAAAAGCACTTCAACGTTTTGGCATGAGATTTCCGTCCGATGTAGTTTTATCGACCCTTGGATTATGGACAATATCTGCTAGGATCGATATGGCTAAATTGGGGGTTTTCAACAGATTATGTAGATGCAAACATTTTATTACTAAAAAAGTCTTCATTTTAAGATTGGCAAGTTATTTGTCGAACAGGGAAACTTTTAAACAGAAAGGGTTTATCAATGATCTATACAATCTGACTGAAAAATATGAATATATACCAGACCAAATTCAACAATTCATCTGTAATGGCAAATATCTGATTAAGGAGAAGTGGAGACTGCTTACTAAATCCCAAATTCATATTTTTGAGGAGAAAAAGTGGCAAGAAAGCTGCCAACAGAATGTCTCTTTACAATATTTTCGTAACGTCCATACAAACCTCAGCCCAAGCATAATGTGGGAATTGGGTAGACAATTCCCAAAATGCACTTGGAATTTAGGCAATCTCATTCATTTATCCTTACCTAATGTATATGAAAAGAAGTGTAAAATGTGTGACACCATTATTATTACCAATGAGTTCATAATCGTGCATTACCTATTGCATTGCCAAAATACCAGAATTATCTGTGAGAGAGACGAACTTTTCAATTTACTAGTCTCAATTTTAGACATAGATACTGGTGTCAAGCTGCTTTCTGCTGACACACATGTTTTTATTGATGCCATACTAGGAAGTCAGGCAGATGTTCTCCAACAATTAGATGATGACACATTTTGTAATTTTTTACTAACTGTTGCAAATAAGCTGCAATTTGTGCAGCACTATTTCATGTAAATATTATTCTTACATTTCATGATTATTCTCTATTGTATAAAGTAACTGTATAATTGTAATTATTATGTTTGTTGCTCCGATTAATTTTCGGGAATAAAAGAAACAATAAACAATAAACAATATGTTTTTATAAAAGGCAGTTTCCTATCATATAAGGGTCACTATGAATAAAATATCTTATTAATCATGGATATTGGATTGTTACAATAACATTTTGGTAGGTGGGTGATGTTGTTCTTTGTGCGTTAACCAGAATTATGCTGGGGATTCTTTTTCTTTTCTATGACTGATTCAATCAATGCTAGAACTAAATCACCAATAAATTGATAAAGCTATCTCGTAATGTGAGTCATGCAATTAAGGCACAATACAAGTTAATAGTTTCAATGATATTTTCTTTATTACATATAACCTTACATGTAACATATGGACATAATATTTACATTTTCTAGATTATACAATCAGTATTGTTGTACCTCAGTTGAAATACTCGATTTTGATTGGACAACGAGCGGTGAATAATTTTAACTGTACACCGCTCAATGCATTGCCGGTGAATAATATTCCCAGCATTCCTCTAAAATGACGTCATTATCAGACGATAAAATGGCCGCCGCTAGCACTAGCCGTTTCAAAAATGTTGAAGATGAGGATATTATTAGTCTCTTAGAGAGTAAAGACAGTCAAAATACGAAGAAAAATCTAAAACTTTGTACAAAGCTTTTAGTGGACTTCGCCCAGGAGAGTAATTTGACTCCATTGAGTGAACTTACTGCCGTGGCAGATGTAGATAATTTTTTGAAAAAGTTTTACGTTTTACTTAAGATGGACATTACCAAGTCTGAATTCAAGGCATCAAACGATGTTTTCAAAGCGATGGTTGTGGAACTGCAGAAGTCATGGTAAAACCACCCACAAACCTGTGTTGGATCCAACTTCAAGTCAACTTCAAGGGTCAGAAAAATCTAAGATATTCTTCGGACTAACAAAACAATTATAGACCTCTCCATTCGGTTTACTGTCAAAATTGTATCCCTCGACTGTAAACCTCGACCTACGGTCTCGGTTTACAGTCTCGGGATATAATTTTGACAGTAAACCTCTGGAGAGGTCAATAATTGTATATTGTACATCATACGAGCTGCTTTTATTTCCATAATGATAGGGAAAACCTTTGGTGCTCCTATTAATATCAACGTGTTATCTTTAAAGTATACAATACGTGTATATTTATTATTTAATAAATTTCAAATATACACACCCTATGGATTTAAAGTAGCACAATTTATTCAGAATATTTAGCATTTTTGCCGTCCGATTATTTATCTCATAGTAATGTCAATAGGCGATTATTTCCTATTCTACATACACAAGAAAAATATTGAAGTATTGATATTTAAAAAAACAAAAAGAGTGGGTCTAATTCTTTAAATAATGTCCGGAATTAAAAAAAATCAGAAATACAGATACTGACCCTTTAAGTATAAAATACAAAGAAAATAAAATAGGCGAGTATACTGTGTATCACTTAATCACTTTTATTACAATATATCATACATGGTTACAAAATATCTTATAATATACAAGGTGGGCCAAAAAACACCCCTAGTCAATATTATTTTTTAACAGAAACACCAACAATGATATATCATTAAAGATTTAATTTAATTCGCAATAAAATGATATATAACAGAATAATTTTCAACAACCCTGAATTGCAACTGAATTGCCTGCCAAATGAATAGGCACAGTGCATGGCAAAATATGTTAGGCCATCTAGTATTTTTTTTTTGAACTGATACCCTTCTAAGATATGAGATCTATTAAAAAAGGCGCATCATCAACAACGTGCAAGAGTCAATGTTTTTCCTATAAATCGGGCAACAATGGTCTACACGACCTGTAATAAATAGGTATAAGGGACGTTATTATCACAATACTAATGACATTGCTCACTGTTTAAAGTTAATTTCCATGCGTTATACAAAAAATAATCGAAATAAATTAATATTGGATGGAGGGGGGATAGGATGGAAGGGGGATAACGTGTATATAAGACATGATAAGACATGCTACTTTAATTTATTATTATGACTCCAAATTTTCCCATTTTTCATTCTCCAGAGATACAATATCCAGTTCCTTACTGGGGTACTGAGTTTAGTTTTTTTCAACTACACGAGTTCTTGTGAATTTGTTCCATCGTAAAGACATATAAATCTAGCGTCCTGAAATGTTTTAGCTAATATTATTAGCCGAGAGCTCTTTAGAAAATCTGGATTTACATTACAAACAGGATCTTAAGAGGTTCTGGACAAATCATTTGATTCTGGACTTGTCATTTTTTTTTTCAACGAAATCACATCCAAGGGTTGAATTTTTATTAGCTATTTAGAGAGTGAGTCCTGCCTAGTATTAATTTCAATAAAAAGTTAAAATAGAACCCTATTTGAGAGTCAATCTAATACTTACATTACATTGATAAATTAAGGCAAATCCTGAAATATTTTTAAAGTGCATTTTTTTATGAAATATTATCCAGCAAGTATTTAGATGAAACGGTCTTATTTAAATACAAATCATAGCATGATGATAATTTTCATGTAACATTTTTCAATGAAATTCAATTGAAGGGTCAAGATAAAACGAGCTAATTTAGGTGAAAACCCTTATGTAGAATGTTTTCAAGATAAGCAAAAGATTGGGCGTGCTATGTAGAATGTTTTCAAGATAAGCAAAGGATTGGGCGTGTTATGTTAAATGTTTGCAAGACAAGGAAAGGATTGGGCGTGTTATGTAGAATGTTTTCAAGATAAGCAGAGGATTGGGCGTGTTATGTAGAATGCTTTCAAGACAAGCAAAGGATT